CTCCTTCTAAGACACCAAGCAGAATGGAGATGCCAATGTGGTCCTGTCAGATGAAGATCAACCTCTTTCGTCACCCCAAGAGGAGAAGCAACTCATGAGGGGCTCAAGTACCAGGGACAAAAACAAGAAAGCAGCAACCTGTTTTCTCCTGAGCACTGGAGATTTCTCTTGTGCTTCTGATGGTGGCATCCGGAAAGGTATGAAGGAGATTCCAAGATCTGTGTTGGTGAATGGAGGGAAATTGAAATATTAAATACCGTAATGTATATGGGGCAAGTTTTGCAGTTGGCTATAACTGACAATGTCAGTTGCTAACTGCTTTTGAAAATTGACCTCTCTGCACTTTCTCGGTCTATGTTAGAGTTGATTGGTAAAGACCCAAAATATATTTCTACAACCTGTCCTAAGCAATAGTAAACCTAAAAGCTATAGCTTTTCTCTCCCATTTTGTTTTTGCCCTGGTTCTCTTGGTTGACTTCTTTTCGCACTGGCTCTGGCAAACAAGAAGGTAAGGATTAAGGGGGGAAAAACGGTGGTAGAACAACAGTTGCCTTCTTCCCTCTGCAAAATAGGGACCACCTTTGGTGGAAAGGTAACAGCGTTCCGTGAGCCTTCGGCATTTAGTCATGCTGGACACATGACAAAGGAGACGTCTTCGGACAGCGCTGGCTCTTTGGCTTTGAAATGGAGATGAGCACTGCCCCCTAGAGTCAGGAATGACTAGCACATATATGCGAGGGGAACCTTTACTTTTACCATGTAAAGAGCTTAGAGTAGATATATGCTTGTCTTAGAGGCAACATGTCATGTTCACAATTTCTTTTTCTTTTTATCATGTAACCTTACAAAGAAGCTTAATGTCTATGGAGATTCTCAGTCATCCAGGTCTTGGTTGTCCCAAAGGTGCTTTTTTCAAGAGGCAACTGGACTTCCTTGTTTTTATTTGAAGACGTTTTGCTTCTCATCCATTCCCATTCTTGGATGAGAAGCGAAACGTCTTCAAAGAAAAACAAGGAAGTCCAGTTGCCTCTTGAAAAAAGCACCTTTGGGACAAAGAAGTTTAATGTTCTTGTTCTTGAAACATACTATAGCTTTAAGGATCAGGTATGAACAGCCTAGCACCGTAGGATATATGTATTTTTATAAAATCCAGCTTAATTTTGGTATCTCCAGATGGGTCTGAGATAGATTTCCAGTGCCAAAACCAAGAAAGTCTTTGCTGGTCAGTGTAGATATTAAGCAAAATGAATTGATAGGTTATAAAATGGCTTCCTGAGTTCTAGCTAAATAATTCAAAGCCTGTTTTAATATCTGCAACATTTAGATATGAAGTTCACTCTATGTTGGTCCTTTTGAATTCACACAGCAGACAGGGACATACATGATATGTGCAATCATCATAGATGGCATGTCACAATGAAGACGTGCATGTCCTGGAAGAAACAATTTGTAAAGAAACTTTGTAGAATATATCAATATTCAGATGTGGGTGAGGGAAATTGCAATCAGGTCAAAGTGGAACACACCATAAATGTATCAGATTTCATGCTTTAAGTAGCCCTCAGCTTAAAAAATGTTGCAAATAATCAGGTCAAACCTCTTAGCTGCTTGGAAGAGAAATATATGGGCTACTTGATTCTGTTTATTTCAATGTTACTCCTTTCTCAAATTATCCCTAAAGAAATTAGGCTTTTAGGAGATGAAACTGTCTATCATTACTTTAACAGGATCAGGTAATTTGGCACTAACAAATGAAAGAATAAGACATATTTAGGGGAGACTGTTTTAAAGGGCAGTGGAATTTGGAGGGTGAGGCTGGCAGATGGGGGCAGAAGATAACCTTTTTAAAACGTACACTTTGGAAATACTCTTTTATGGACTTTGGCCATTTACATAATTATCATTTCTAAAGGGCAGGTGAACAAACTATGCAAGTCATGCAGTCAAATATACAATGAATGTGCTTGTTTGCATAATCTAATGTACAATATGAATTGCTCACATCCATGTCTATGAATATAGAAGGATCTGATGTAACTAAATATCAGATAAGAGCATATGGATAGTACTGGCTTCAAGCCATGATAGGCTTCCTATTTCATAGTTATGTGGAATCATGAATTTCAACAGGTTCACATTCTCCCGTTGATGGCTGCCCACACTCGTAAGTTTAGCAATCAAACTAAAGGTAAATATGTGACTAGACACATATAGTTACTGAAATGAGTAATTGATCATAAGGCTAGGTAGTTCATTCTATGTGCACCTGTTCCTATACTACCATTTGTAACTGTAAGTAGCAGCACATGAAGAATCCTGAATTTCTATAACAGTTGGATATGAAAGAATAATATCTCCTGTCTTTCTGTGATGCATCCAAACAGAAGATTCTTAGGAATACTAATGAAAAGACACATCTTTATATCTTTCTCTTTAATAGACTTCTTTTCAGAGCATAGCAAAAATATGGAGAAAACACAGGATGTTACTCAGCCTAGGTTTGAGGCAGGACACTTTACACAATAAAGGATGCATATAAAAGCACTAATGATGGCATAGATTTCTTTATGCATCCAGTCAGTTACTTGGCAACAAACAAATGCATTATTATGCACTTAGAATGACTTTAACTAGCATCTGTACGTATTGCTGGGAAAGTTGCCTATCTAACTTGTGCTGTTAAAAATCAGCACAAAAATTATTAAAACAAACTCTTCATAACCATTTACCATTTGCCTAACAGGTATGTCAGCATAGCTTGCTACCAGACTCCATGGCTTCTGCCTGCTCTCGAGTTTCATGTTTGTTCCTTCTGGACATAAATTCCATTTAGAAAGATACAATTTGGTGCAATATGATGATCTGCCAACACCATACCTACATTTGCAGATTCTAGGTTAGTAATAGTTTGCTCTCATTCTTTTTGAAACAAACCATATTTTGGAGGTAGTAGGCAACTTGTGGCACTCCGGATTATGCTAGAATTATTGGTACCTAGAAGAGATTGTATATTCCCACAGCATCTGGAGTATCCTAATTTCCATGGTTTGTACAGGTGTAAAGATAGTTGATTTGATATGAAGATAAGCTATTTTTTCTATGATTCTCTGAAAAAGGACAGCTGCCATTTCAAAACCTTTATTCCATCCATTTGCTTCTTGCGTTAACAAGTTGCTTCATAAAACCTAACCCCAAAACACAAAATATAAATAGGATGCTTGTGATGCCAGAGCACAAAATGTTCTATTTTGTTCCTCTGCTGCTCTTCTTGCCCACCTTACTGTACTGTGTACTGTTAGTTTGATCCAGGACAGTTTCGGGAACAGACAAAGCAAGTCATCTTTTCTCTTCTTATGTCATTGAACATTATTCAGACTTGGTGACATCTGCCAGCCAGCACCATTCACTCATTTTCTTCTTCTCCTCCATCTTCTTCCTCGCTTGTTTTTCAGAAGGAGGGAGGGGATGACACTATGGGTCTTGATGTGACTTGTCTGGCTTTAGGATGCAATCATTAAAGGGCTTCTCCCTGAGAAACTGAAAGCCAGTGTTTTAAAGAAGAGCATAAGCTGTGTCTGGATGTTACTAAAGTCAAGAAGCACACATAGCATTTTCACCTTGAAGTTATCATTGGGCAGAGACTTTCAATCCTAGAAAAAAAAATCTGAAAATAATAATAAAGGTCTCTAGGAGATCTGAGTGGAGGTCTCTAATATTCTGCTCTCCTCCTGCCCTATCCTGTTTTGAGGAATATTTACCTCAGGTTCTAAAGCATAGGAGGAGACAGATAAAAATGCAAGATTTTCACCACGTGTATAAGCCCCATGCTTTGATAGCTGTGAATGAATTCCCGTGCCTTGTACTGTGAGTAATCTGCTGTTTAAATCCAGCAGGTTTGTGAGGCATTTGTTCCATAACGGTGTGTTTTGGCATTGTGCGATTTGACTAATTAAGTGTATTCATTTGCTTATTAAGCTTTCAATTCTCAGTAGGTAATGAGTCATGCAATAAATATGCTGAATGCTGTATACTTTATTCAGCTGAGGGAAATAATACGGTTTCAGATAATTGGTGTACTGTAGTGATAAGGCACTGATATATCTAGCTCCTATTTTCATTGGGGTATCTGAGAAGAAAAAAATACCATTATTTGTAATGAGGCCAGCTATGGACCAGACCCAGTGTGGGATACCATGCATCAGTTTTGCAATCTGAAAGCCACATAGCCTGCATTTCATTGCTTCATCAGTTTTGTGTGTGTTCAAGTTCCTTCTGTGCAGGCTTTAGGGAACTAAATTGGATTGAAAATAGCAACATTGTAGATTGAAAACACTTCCTTTCGTAGAAGCACAGTGTATAAACATTTCTGCAAATATAAGGTTAAACATAACAAGTGGCCTAATTTAACACAAAGGGTAGATTCAGAGTCTCCTTTATCTGAAAAGGTCAGTGAAATCTTTCTTTTGGCTTTAGATTCAGCCAGCCCAAATGTTCTGGTTAATCAAGGTGCAGGAAACTCTCTTCAAAACAGGAGGATAATGTCATTAACCATTAAGATAGAATTTTACCTCCTGGAGTCATCTTTGCAGTGTCACTGCAAATAAAAGCAATAACTGGAATGCAGAAACTATTTGCCTTTCATTTATAATTCGGCCATATATTTAATATATCTGATTCAAAGAATGAAGCTTATAATTTTCAAAATTATAATTCATCATTCCATTATCAGTTTTCCAGCCAAAACCTACTGTTAACTTCCAAGCCTTTTTACAAATGTGATTCTGCCAAAAAGACTAAAAACCAAAGAATTATTAATTCATGCATACAGTTCTCAAAAGGAAAATACAGTCAGGTTAATGTAAGTATTATGGGACTGCAGCTGGAATATGCTAATAATGACTGACTACAAAAGAGAACAGGACTTTTCAGTGCCTTAACTACAATTATTCTTGACTCCATAAAACAAAGCATACTTCTTGAAATTCCATTTATTAAACAGTTCACTTGTGCATGACGGTGCAAAGTGGTTTGAGATGGCAGCTGCCACAACATCCTTGATTTAGTTTTAGAACAGTTTGAGTGTTCATTGTTTTTCACCCAATTATATTTAAATAAAATTAAATGTATTTTCTTACGACATAATTGTTTTGAAAATAAATGTAAAAAATTTCCAGTGATTTTTTTTAAACAATTGTGT